CACTGTGGTTCGGTTCTCCTGCTCAACTCCGCTCGCCCTCAAAGTCTATCACTGTTATCATTTGGGATTTCAACATCTGGTAATAATAAGCACAGGGATTATTAAAAAAATATACCAGGGGAAGCTGTTTGCATAACCCATAAATGTTAGAGGTTTCACGGTGCTGATTTTCAAATAGGAAAAGACAACACGCAGAACAGGGCAGGTGGCTTAAAAGGCAAGTGTGAAAAGTGCCATGGCCTGAAGTCATCCCTGTGGGAGTCAAGCATAAAGACGAGTGATCCGGCTGCTTGGACGGCGGGCGGATCCGTTTCCACGGGTGAGATTGGGACACACCAGTGGCTGCTTGGAGGGTAGAGGCTGGCACCCGCAGCAGCCACACCCACATGGGCGTGGTCCCCGGAGGGCTTGGACACAGCCCCAGGAATACCCTGTGGACAACCCATGGCCGATTTCCTGAATGGCTTCTCTCCCATCTCTTGGAGGAAAACTAGTTCCAGAAAGCAATACATTCACACAGAGCAGACAACAGCACAGTTCTGGCATTCCTGCCCCGGGGCTCTGTGAACTGGTGACATCTGTCCCAACCCAGCCTGCAGAGCATCGCACTCCATCAATTACCTGGGAAACAGGACACAGGTTGGCAGATTCCTCTAGCCAGGCAGCACGGGAGAGGCCTTGGGCAGGTGACACAAGAGACTGTGAGCTTCCAGCAGGAAAAGGTTGGACAGCAGGTCCAGCCTATAGTGCAGGAAATCCTGGTGCCAGGCCAGGTGTCACATGGGAAACTTACAGCAGGCTCCCCTGGGAGCAGGACCAACCAGACTGCCGTGCCAAGGCTGTGCCACCTGTGGTCAGATCAGACAGGTGCCTTCACCCAGGACCTTCAGGTCAGGCATCACCTGGTCACAGACCAGGCTCTGACAAACCTGTCAAGTGATAACACCCAGCAGGGGTCATCGGCATGCCAGGGACAAAGCATGCACAGGACCAGATGCCAGGGGTGAGTGACAGGAACTGGCAGCTGGGGTTTCACAAGCACTCCTGCTATTCCAGTTTCCCTTCCGTCTCCCACCCCTGGCTGGAGGGTGGGGAAGAGGAGGAGGAATCTGAGTTTGGTGTACACATGGTCTGCTCAGGAAGTGGGTTAATATAAGGCAGGAACAGGTGCCAGCTGCGCCACAGCCCCACTTAGGGCACAGCCTAGCAGACACAGGAACGTCTTCTCCAAGAACCGACTCTTTTTGTTTTTCTTAATTACATTGCGTTATGTGACACAGTTTTATAGATACTGGGATTCCCCTCACCCCTCCTCAAACCCTCCCCCCATGGTGGACTCCTCCACCTTGTTGCATTACCACAGTTCAAGTTCAGTTGAGATTCATTCATTGCAAGCATCCACCAAGCATAGAGTCCAGCATCTTATTGTCCAGATAAGTTCAACAGCTTCTTGGGGAGACCTTCTCTGGTCTGAAGGTAGAGCCGGCAGAGTATTATCCCGATCAATGAAAAACCCCGACATTACATCAGCAACAATTTACAACATTATGGAATTAAATGACATAGTATTGAGTAACCAATATGTTAAAAAAAAATGCAAGTTCTTAACCACATCCTGTGACTTCCTTACTGACATCTCAATTTTAGTTTATATACAATCAGGTTCTATACACCTTAAAATGGCCACAGATTACTCTTCAGCTGTCTCGTGTCTATTCTCATTATAGTATTTAGCATTTTATAGTGTTGAAGCATAATTTTGTTGAACCTGGCTTTTTTTTTTTTCGGGTAGTCTAGACTGGCTTATAACTCTAACAAGATATTTGTCAACAGTTTAGGTGCAGAACAGTTTTAGGAGGGGTGTGCAGAGAAATCCTCAATACTCTAGTGAGGAGTAACCAATCTTTGTGTCCCACTTAGTAAAGTATAAGTGAATCCACGCTGACCGTTTCCTGTCTGATTCTAAGCTTTCCTTGTTGTTCTCTATTTTAGATTGTTTGTTTGTTTGTTTTGAGGGATTCCGGAGCAATCCTGATGGTCATTGCCAGAGAGGGTGGGGACGCAAAGTTGCAACCAAGCTAGGACCAGAGAAAGCTCCCCTCCCTAGTCCGGAAGGAAGTTTACTGTTCTTCTGTTTCTGCGGACTGCTCAGGACTCCTGGCTGTTAAGAACCGGGTCTTAAGAGGTGCTGGTGGTCATTCACTTCCTGTGGCTTGCCTGGGTAGCCTCGGGACTGGGAGAAGAGAGAGTGGGAGGTTGCGGACAAGGTGGGGGAAGAGGTGTGTAGGACACCTGGAGGCGTGAGAACAGATGGTGGAGGGGACACTGCCCACGGGGCCGCGTCTGCCATGGACAAGGCAGGAAGCAGACAAGAGCTGACTGTGGCCAACATCTTTCATCAGCCACCCAGGGGCACAAAGATATAGCACAATTGAGGTGGCAAAGACCACATCTGGAGAAGACTGACACGCCTAGCCAGGGTTCCCACCTGCAAGAGCCAAGCGAGGTGGCTGAAGGTGCCTCCAGGATGGTGCCACATGTCCAGGGCACCTTCCAGTCTACCCTACAACAGCCGTGGTTCATCCTGGCAGAGGTGTGTGTGTGCTCTGCATCTTGTCCGCTCTTCCTGGCCACAGGACCCTTCACCAGCGCCACCTGCTTAGGCAGGTGGATGGGGAACCTGAACAAGCTCAAGGAGCGGCGTCTCCAGGGACTTGATGGTTGCAATGGGCGGGGGGCGTGGCAATGACTCCACAGCCACAGACTGCCTGAAGTGAGTCACGCTGGGATCGCCTAGACAATGCTCCACCCGCCTAACACAAGTGATCACGGTGGCCAGCTTGGAGGCAGTGCTTAATGAGAACAGGGGGCAGCGGATCGTCCAGGCTGCCAAGGACATCTTGAATCCAAACGCTTCTGTGATGCTGTGGCCCCAGATCCTGCACAGTTAGAGGTGTTGGTTCCTCAGAGGAGTGTTTTCTGCTAAAGGACACAGTGAGATTCCCATTGAGGTATCAGTGACGGCTGCCCCTGGGTACCAGGAGGAGGAGTCAGCCTGCCAGCCAACAGCAACTCCCCTCGGTGCCGTTTGGAACCCTCTTGGCCCTCCTGTGACAAGTGCAGCAGTCCTGACGTGAGAAGGGCAGTGCCAGCCCGGGCCCCTGACCCCCAGGTAACCCTTGAGGACCAGCCGGCCAGCTCCAAGCTCCAGGTCAGTGGTTGGTCAGGGCTCTGATGCCCAGGTGAGCTAAGAGAGTGGCAGAGACAAGCGCGGGGAAGGGAGGCGGTGTTGAGAACAGACGAGAAGGAAGGAGAAGAGAATTGGTGGTGACGGCTAGGAAGCTGGAGCACCTGTCTGCACTTGGTTCTCAATCTCTAACCTCCCTCCTCTGAGCGACCACCGGGTGAGTGGTCCTGTGTGTGCGAGGGACGACAAGAGTGTTTCCCCTAATGTTCCTTTCCTCTCCAGGCAGGTCTTTCTAGAAAGGTCACTGAGCAAGCATGGATGTGAACTGGGTAATAGCAACCACGTGTCCTGCCACCCCAGCAGCTCCCGACTGAAGGGGGAGAGAGGAGCGAGGAGCGGCGGGAGGGGCGGGGGGACCCACTCAGGGTTTTCGCTGCGGGTCCCCCATCCATGCACACTCCAGTTTTCCCAAAGCTGCCGGGGCTGCAGGCTGGGGGCTCCCCCTGTGTGTGGTCAGAGCACGTCTGGTTTGTTGCCATAGACTCGGGCCATTCTCTGCCCTTCCTCTGCCAGGAACCAGTGTCCTCTGGGCACTGTGCCTCTGCTGGGCACAACTACTGCTGATTCACCAGAGACTGGGTGGTGCCAGCGCTGCCCCAAGGGGTGGGACTGCGGAGGCTGCCTCTTCCTCACCCCTTCTTTGAGTTTTGCTTTGTCAGGAGTGGCAGGGAGGCGAGTGAGGGAGTGAGTGTGTATCTCACAGGGCTTTGGGCTTTGTATCCCAGCAGTGAGGGGAGGGCATTGGGTTGGAGCAAAGAGTTCAGGGAATAAGGGTGCTTAAAATAGGAAAGGAGAAATTCATTTGGCCTGCTGGGTCTGGAAGGTCGGGGTTTTCAAGGTCAGCTGGAAGAAGGGCCACTTTCAGAAGGTCGGGCCTAGTGGACTGGTGGACAAGTGAGGGCCCAAAGGCCGGGAGAAGCAGTGATGAACTCTGAGCCCAGGGTTGGGGTGCCCTGCCCGGGGTCAGGCGAGGCTATTTCCACCTGCTACAAGGAATCCTGCATCTTGCCCTGGGGGCATCGTCCCCTACCGTTCTGGCCTTCCTGTGCCCACGAGGCTCAAAGGAACACCAGCACGGGGACGTCTCCTCCTGTATAGAGATCAGGCTCATGTGCAGGATTCCAGCGGTCTGTCCTAACGGCAGGGCAAGTTCAGTAGGGGCTGTTTGAGAACACTGCCGCTCAAGCGTTCAGCACCTTTGGTTCTGGGCCCAAGAAGGAACGGTGGCCTGCACAGAGGGCTGGGAAGCGGGGACAGCCCGCGGAGCAGCAGGACAACCCGGGACAAGCCCAGGGTCCAGCATGCAGCCCTCGGGCGGGAGGGGTGGGCTGCACAGGAGGCGGGGAAGCAGGGATAGCCTGGGACAAGCCCAGGGTCCAGCCTGCAGCCCTCGGGCGGGAGGGGTGGGCTGCACAGGAGGCGGGGAAGCAGGGATAGCCTGGGACAAGCCCAGGGTCCAGCCTGCAGCCCTCGGGCGGGAGGGGTGGGCTGCACAGAGGGGTGGGAATCGGGGACAGCCCGCGGAGCAGCAGGACACCCCGGGACAAGCCCAGGGTCCAGCTTGCAGCCCTGGGCCTCCGCCGGCGCCTGCACAGTTTCGCCCACGCCCGGCGCTGCACCGCCTCACCTTTGCCCCACTTCCAAGTGCGGGCTCTAACTTTGCGCCGTTCCGATTGGCTGCGCGGCGGCCCAATGGGCAGGCGGGAGTGGCAGCTGGCGTTCGCGCGTCTCGCGAGGCTTGGCTTGACGGAGGCGCGGCCGGCCGGGTGTTTGGAGGGGCAACTCGGGAACCCGAGGCAGACGAGCGCGGCCACCATGTTCCGAGCAGTGGCTCCTGGGCAGCTCCGGCGGGCGGTGAGTCCGGACGGGGCAGGGGCCGGCCGGCCTCCAACCTGCCGACGCCGGCCTGGGGGCTGGGGGACCTTCCTCTGTCCTGGACTCCCTTCCGGGCCGCTGGCGCGGGGTCACGGGGGTCGGAGTGACCGCTGTGTCCATCCTGCGCTGGGGCTGCCCCTCTTCTCTTGGACACGCTCGGTTCCTTCTCGGGTGTCGCCAGGAGGCTCCCCGCCCCCGGGGTAACAGCTGGCGTCTTCTGGGGTGCAGGCCGGGGCTCCGGGGGCGCTGGGGTCGGGTGGAGGACGCACCTGCCTGAGCCCGAAGACGGCGCGTGTAGGATCTGAAATATATCTGTATATATTTCAGAGTTTACTATTTTCATAAACCAGCAGGCTGTTGGTGAAGGAGGGGACTGTTGCCAACAGTGAATTTGCAGTACCTCAAGGGTTTCTCTAAGACACTGAGAGAACCACCAGGAAACTTGCGTATATTACATATATATCATATCATGCTGAGAAGAACAGCTTTGAAACCTGACCCATGGCAGGTGACAATCTCACGTCTCCTGCACTTGGGCAGCTTTTGTAATTCAAGTGAAGAAATGAGGTTGAGGAACTTTTTCCCCCAGATCCCAGCTGGTGGTCATCTATCTGATTTATCCACACTAGGTCATGACCCTTTTCTTCCCCTTCCAAACGTTCAAGTGCCCTGCAGGTCTTTGCCCTGTCTTTAGTAAGAGATTTGGGCTGTTTGTTTACTTTTGTCCGTGGAGACTCCAGGCATGAGCAGCATAAAATTTGCTTTTGAAACAACCCCAAGAACCAGGGACATGGCTTGGCAGGACAGTTGTCCCTACAACAGGTGCAAGGCAGTTTTGTGGACAGGGTATGAGTCTGGCAGGAGTGAAGCGGTGGTTGTAGTCGGGGAGAATGTAGGCCCCAGGAACTTTGCAGAACTATTAATTAAAAAAAAAAAAAAAAGAGCTGATTGGTTTCCTTGCTTCCTACCGTTCACACAGTTGGCCGGTGTAAGTGGAATGGGCTGAACTTTGTTTCCAAACCTTTATTGTGGTCTGCCAGGGACTTTGGCCTTGATTTATTTCTGTAATTGGAAGTCAGGCTTAGCGGAGGAGCTGCCCCAGAGGGGTTAACAGTGTTGGACAGTGGACTTCAAACACAGGAGGAATGATCAAGTGCTAAGCCCCTGGAGGCACCTGGCATAGTTAGCTGTGTAAGCCAAGTGAGGACTGATTGCCACTTAAGAGAAATGGAAGGAACAGAACGGACACTTGCTAGGGCTCTTCCCTGGATTCCCCCAGCTGCTAGAGTGAGTCTCTCTCGCATAAACACTTCTCTCCTTCCAAACTTTTTGAGAGCGTGTTGTGGATGTGTGGCTCAGTCCTGAATGACTCTGCTTGCTTTGAAAGTATAGGGAGGCCCATTTTCCGGATCGCAGTATAATTCACAGGATCAGGAAGTTTGAACAGTGAATCTACACTGTTTCCTTATCTACCTACAGACATTCGCATTTTGCCAGTCATCTGTATAATACTGTTGTACTGTTCATAGCAGTTTTTCTTTTGTAAAATTTAGCTTTTTTTTTTTTTTTATCGGAAAGGCAGTGTTACAGAGAGAGAAGGAGATCTTCCATCTGCTTGTTTACTCCCCAGGCAGTTGGGCCATGCTCTGCTGCTTTCCAGCCACATTAGCAGGGAGCTGGATCGGAAGTGGAGCAGCCCCCATTGGTGATTGTTGAGAAATGATTAGTATGATGCAAAATGGTGATTTTTCCATTCCATCATTCCTTGTGTGCTTATTAGCCTTCTACCGTAGGAAAGGAGATCCTCTTGTTACTTGTATATTCACGGCGTATGGGTCTGTCGGAGATGACGGTCTCAATCCTTCCCATTATTTTGCTGCTCAGGCTGTCCCATTCAATCGGCTACTCTTTATATACTCTTAGGACATCCTAACATCAAAATAGCACAGTGTAAATTCCTGTTGTTATGGTGTAAGGTGTTACTCTGTAGCTAACAGTGGGTACAATTAGGAAGATATACTTTCAAAATGTGTGTTTAATTCTTTTTTTTTTTTTTTTTTTAAGATTTATTTTTATTATTTTTTCATTGGAAAGGCGGATATACAGAGAGGAGAGACAGAGAGGAAGATCTTCCGTCCGATGATTCACTCCCCAAGTGAGCGCAACGGGCCGATACTATGCCGATCCAGAGCCAGGAGCCTCTTCCGGGTCTCCCACGCGGGTGCAGGTTCCCAAAGCTTTGGGCTGTCCTCGACTGCTTTCCCAGGCCACAAGCAGGGAGCTGGAAGGGAAGCGGGGCTGCCGGGATTAGAACCGGCGCCCATATGGGATCCCGGGCTTGCAAGGCTATATTCTATCCGAGTCAAGGTACCAGATATATTCTATCCGAGTCACGGTACCAGATATATTCTATCCGAGTCACGGTACCAGATATCGGGGGTCCTCCCGTCCCACGGAAGAAATCACCCGACACTTGAGAGAGTCTCCAAGGCGCTTTTTATTCTGCTCCTCCGTCCCGTCGTGACCGTTGTTCGTTGACCGTTATCACCGTTATATCCGTTACGCTCCAGCCCCTCCCCCGCCAAGCCCCCCGCTTAACTGTCAAACTTGACCAATCAACTTAAAGAGAACCAAGGCACACCAATCAGGGCAAAGGGCCAATCACAGGGCAGGAAATGGTCAGTGCCCCCAACAGCTCCCCCTTCTTGTTTTATTAAGCAAGGGACCGTGCCTGTCTTAGGTGTTCCGAGTTCAGGCTCCCCTTACCCATCATGGGCTAACCACGTGGCTAGGAACGTGGCACCTGTCTTAGGTTGGTGAAGCCATATCGGATACTTACCCGTCTCTGGCTACCGGTCCAGCATGCCTAGCCAGACTTTTAGGGATTATCTGTTGTGAAGGGCAAGCACAGCTTGCACTAGCAGCTGCTGTTACTGCTGCTGACGCTGTGCTCAAGGATGAAGCATCCACAGACCCCAAAGAATGATATAAGGCCCAGGGCTACTATACCAGCCCATTGGTGTGCAAAGGAAAGATCCTTTAGTATGCAATTTGTCCATTGCTTTACTGTGGCAATCTCTACTTTTATGCTATTTATGGCTATAATTTGGGATCTTAGTTCCTATGTCAAATTATCGAATCGTATGGACCAGCTTCCACTAGGGGATAGCATAGCGGATAATTCTCTGGACAAATTCAGTGCTCGGGAACCATTGGTGACAATAGAGGGAGTGACACACATTCCAGGTAGACTAAGCACACAGGAGGTCCCCATATGATGGAAATAAGTTGTGGAATGCGTACCAGCACCACAGTGCCAGAGCCATTCCAACACTGGTTAAGGGCTCACTTAACTACAGAGCAGCAATTAACAATAAACATAAATGGAGCTTGTACACATACATAAATAGCATTATAGATAACATAACAACTGCAATTAACTTTAACATTTTCTTCCCATATTCTAGAACTACTACTACTATAATTACAATTTCTTATCACTACCTTATCAATAAATGCAAAAGCTGATATATCTGAACACCCACCCCTATTAGTGCAAAGTACCCAGACATTCCAAGACTGAGCAGAAACAGATTGAACAGGGTTACCATATATATAGTTATACCCCACAAAGGCACAATTTGAACAGGTAGGAAATAAATTGGTCACAGCAAGATCAGGTGCTACTCTTCTAGGAGTCACAGTACTTTGACAGCAGTCCATTCTGGGGGCCATTTCCAAGGCCCTAGACAGCGAGTCAATATTTGCTGCACACCTTTTATGGTGCAGTTTTAGCTGGAGATTCTGGTTGTCTCCTCTCGGTATCTGAATGAACATCAGGCTGGTCAGCATCCACCACGTCCACAGGTTCATCTTGCTCCGGCTTTCTTATCACTCGCGTCAAACGTTCTGGCACCCACACCGGTCCATCAGAATCCTGCGGAAAAACACAAACCGCTCCTCGCGTCCGTCGTAAGACAGGATGCGGGCCCATCCATTGTTTTGTTAAAACATCCTTCCACATCACCCAATCTTTGCAGGGGCCTGCGCCAACAGTGTGGCGTTCGGCAGCAGAATGGCCATCCAAATCCAGAATCAAAAAGTTAAAAATATAAGTAACTAAAGCCAATTGATGTTTAGGACTTTTGGGATATAGGGTGGCTCCTACTCCCCCTTTTTGTTTTATTAATAATGCTTTGAGAGTTGCATGGGCACGCTCTACCACAGCCTGACCTGTGGGATTATATGGGATGCCAGTAGAGTGTTTAATTGCAAATTCAAAACAAAACTTATCAAATGCTTTGGCTGCATAGGCAGGTCCATTATCAGTCTTATAACACTGGGGGACTCCCCAGGCTGCAAAAGCCTGAAGGCAATGAGATATACAAAAATATGGTCGGATCCAATTAATATACTCCAGTACCTGTTGGAAATCATTAAGGGTCTTTAAACCATCCATTCTGACTTTTTTTTTTTTTTTTTTTTTTTGCGTTTCCATAAGACTTTCTCACCTTCCTGTATACGTCCTCTGAATTTATCAGTGCCATCTGTCAGGCAAGACTTAATCAATGTCCAGAACCTGACTGTTCCTGGAGGAAGGGGCTCCTGGTGTTCTGCCTTAGCTAAGTCTCTGCCTAAGTGCTCCCATTGTGGCAGGATCAAAAGGCCCTCCTCCAGAAACCATGGAGTGATCCCCTGCATAGTTTGCAAAAACAACAGTACCGTCAGCAGTTTCTGCAATAAAGGCTGCATGTGCGCCGAAAAAGTTAAATTGGCCATATTTCTAACACCGCTGATCATTGCTAACTTGCAAACTTGACCGATTGTCAAATGGCGAAATTGATCGTTAACTGTGAACTTGAATGGGCGCTAGATCACAAACCTGAATGGGCAGTACACCACGACCCTGAATGGCGGTAAACCCCAACGCTGAATGGCGGTAAATCGCGATCGTGAATGGCGGTAAACCGCGCCCCTGA